TCTGGGCCGTCCGAATTATTTTTTCAGTTGAAATTATCTCTAATGACAAATTCTACGAATAAAAAAATAATTGTTTATGCGCGGAAGGTTCCGGCAAAAAAATTATTATAAATATTAATGCAATTTGCAAGTGGTCTAGGCCAGACAGCCAATAATAATTGTAAATATAGTAAATTTACAATTGAAATAAAATATATAAACAACCAACTAGTCAGATAAAAACAAAAATACTGTAAAATAATAATAATTATTATTATTATTATTATTATTATAAATTTTTTTAATTGTTATTCTTTAGAGTAAAGTTAAAATAAAAAATACAAAAATTATTCTAATTAAAAAATAAATTTGAAATAGTAATAATAAACAATAATAATAAAATATAAAACCAAGATTATTATTGTTCTTATTATTTTTCTTTACTATTGAATTATTACAAGCTATGTAGTACATAGTACTGAATAATTGTATTGGGGTATGGGGATGTTAGCCGAATACGAATGGATAGGAGCTCGTTCTGTTGAATTTGGATGGCTCACGCAGGCTTACAGTGAGGCAGGACGCGGTCGACGCCCAAATCCAAATCCACCAGAGGTGCCCAATTCATATATATGTATGGCTACATTTTTTTTCTATTTTCCTTATTTTTATCATTTTTTTTAATACTCTGTCAACATCAGACCAGAGCTAGCACTTATTCATTACATATTCTTCTGTAAAAAAATAAAAAAATTTTTTAATTATTAAAATTTTCTACTAAAATAATTAATAAATTTGAATAATTAAATTTATATTCTTACAAAGTAAGAATTGCTTGTAAAAACTTGTACGATATAAAAATGAAAATTACCCATACATTGATGGAATGCTGATGGCCAGTGGTGCGCAATTTCACTGTTAAATTATACCATAAAAATTCTTTAGTAAAAAAATTTATATTTTTAATTAAATATAATTTATACTTACACAAAAATTGCAATATTAATAAATTATTTTTTATTTATTTTTTTAAATGAAAATTCAGCTAAGTAATTAGACGAGGTTAATGCAGGGGCTTTTTGTGAGCATATATTGATTTTATGGGTACACATTGCACATTAAAAGTATGCTGCAAGTAAGCGGAGTCAGACATACGTGTATAACTGCCCTTGACCTTGAACCTAGCACAGCGGAGGCAAAAAACCCCATGTATTCTTCTTTTTCCGCTCTTTAATACTTGAATCCTTTATGCCCAGATATATACAATCCTGAAGTTTTATTTAAATATCGATTGTTACTTCAAGCCCTGCGTCACCGTTTCATTTCAAGCTTCTCTTTACCTATGCTACTTTTCTTTTTATTATTTTTATTATCATTATTATTTTTTTATTCATTATAATTTTATGTTTCTACCTACACTATTAAATTTATGAGCTATAAAATCAAAAATTATAGGTATTGAAACATGAAAAGTTTTTTTTTTATGAATTACATACCATAAATTTTTAATTTTAAAATAAAAACATGTTACGATGTTTGAATAATAAACAATAAAATAAAGTCAATATAATAATTATAAAATTAAAGAAAACAAAATTATACTGAAGTTAGCTGACAGCTGTCAATTTTATTTAATTTTTATAACAAATCAATTACAATTAAAAAAATTCTTCTAAAAATTTCAACTAATAATTTTCTTTTTAATTTCACATGTGAAATATTTTATTCAATTTTTTTTTAACAATTATTTTATTGCCGTATAATTTTATAAAAAAAATATTAAATAAAGAAATTCCACATGTGAAAATTAAAAAAAAATTAGCAACCTTGCAGTCACTATGTGACTGCCGTATAAATAAATAAAACTTTGCTTTATTCAATAATGACTACTGTTAAATTGCACTGTACTTTTTTAACTAATCACGTTGTTAAAGATATAAGCTCATCCCGGTGTTACACTCATTAAGAGCTTTCATTTGAGTACCCACATGCATTTTTGATATATTTTTCATATATACATATATACATATATATAATATATAAAATATATGAAAAATTGATGTGGGTACTCAAATGAAAGGTCTTGATGAGTGTAACATCGGAATGAGCTTATATCTTTAAAAAAGTTACTAGTTCACAAGATACTAGGTAATTTCTTAATTATTGATATTTTTAAACATATAAGCTTATCTCGATGTTACACTCATCAAGACCTTTCATTTGAATACCCACATGCATTATTGATATATTTTTCATATATACATATATATAATATATATAAATATATAAAATATATGAAAAATTGATGTGGGTACTCAAATGAAAGGTCTTGATGAGTGTAACATCGGTATGAGCTTATATCTTTTAAAATGTCACTACTTCATAAGATATAATGTCATTTCTTAATTATCTATCTAGAGATAAAATTTCCTCAAAGCAATTACAGTGTCAATAATATTCATATAATAAATTATCTTAATTAATACTCATACGTGTTTAAATTATAATTACAGCAGTTCCCGAGCTTCGCGTAACCTGGCGGAAAAACAGCGACGTGATAATCTAAACACCAATATCGCGATGATGGCAGCATTAGTACCCAATATAGCGTCAAGCTCAAAGCGTCACGACAAAATTTCTATTCTCAGACTTGCCGCTGCTTATCTGCGGTCTAATTTTGGTAAGTATAATTAGTCTAATTAAAAATAACAATTATCATTGTATAATAATACATATTATATACAAAAAATAATAATTATTATCTCACAGCAATTGGTCCTGGTATTCGCGATTTCATCCCGCTGGAGTACAGTGATATCGACCTTGAAGAAAATTTTGTTGACGTGAGTATATATAATGAAATATAAAATTTATAATTTATCATTAATTTTTATAATACTGAAATTTAGAGACATCTGACAATTTTTTAAATTTTCTTCAAGCAATAAATTAAATAAAAAAAAAATTTAAATTTTAAAAGCTCTAAAAATTTATAAAAGCAATTTTTAAAAATAATTTATTTAAAAAAAAAAAAAGTAAAAAATTGTAAAGTGTCTCTAAACTTCAGTATTATAAAAATTAATAATTAATTAAAGTGTCATTAATTTTTATTTATTTTTTATTAATTATTTAAGGGCTTCGATGGAACGGGAAGTTTTCTTCTAGTCGTTACAATAACCGGCAATATTGTTTACATCAGTCCACGTGTGGAAGGACCTCTTGGTTACTCACCAGTAAGATATAATAATAATTTTATTAAAATAAAACATAAAAAATGAGTTCATACATTCATATAATGCAAAAACAGGTTTCATAATTTTTATTTGCATATTGATGAAATAAAATGTTATTTTAATAAAAAAAAAAAAAAAAAAATCTCGTCAGATTACACACGTGTCACTCTAGAGAATTTTCAGACACATATCGACCCACTCAGTGGTACTTTAAATCGACTGGGATTATGTGGAAAAAGTATATACCTTAGTTTTATTAAAATAATAATTTTCATATATTTTATAGTATATAATTTAATGATAATATAATTATAATTACTAATAAGTAACGTGGGTGTCCCACATTTGGTTCAGCATCTTAAATAAATTTTTTCTGTCTATATAAAAAATTATACTCACAAAGATATAATTTTAATGATAAAAGTATGTACAATCAGACGGGTATTGTATCCAAAGAAATGAAAAATATCCTGCGGTGATAACTACGCATCATAAAAATATCAAATAATTATGATAATAATATACTATACAATATTAATAATTAAAAAAAAAAAAATTGCAGGTTGAAATGATGGGTAAATCAATCTTCTCATATGTACATCCGGAAGATCATTCAGAGCTTTCAAAAGCGCTAACACCCGATGAATATGTTCAGCCAGTCAAAAAAATAGCGTATTACAATGAAGACTGCAGCACCAATGAAGAAACCACAAATACTTCTTCTAATTCTACAGCTGTTTCTACAATAACAAATAATAATAATAGTAATATTAATCATAATAGTAACAGTAATTTCAAAGAACAGCGACGTAGTTTTTACGTTAAAATAGCACAACGTACCAATTCAAGAGGTGAGCATACGCAATTTAAATGTTTTCACGTATCGGGCGTATTACGACTGGCTGATTTTTTAAGGAAGAAAAATAATTCAGGTAATTTTTTTCATTTATTTTAAATATTTATGATACTGAAATTGACAGGAGTTAGAATTTTATAGCACTTAAATTACTATGAAAAAAATTTAATAAAAAAATTCTACATGTGAAGATAAAAAAGAAAATTATTAGTGAAAAACTTTTAAAAAAATCTATATTATAAAGAGAATTAGAAAAATTTAGTGTCGTTGCAAAGGTCTTGATTTGAATTTGTGCCTTTTCAAGATTTCATATCATTTTTACCGATAGTCAATTTATCATAATAAGTATTTAGGCTGCATTCGAAAATGCTCTATCTCTATAGATACATAATTAAGAAATGAACTTGTATCTTCTGAAATATTGACATTTTTAAAGATATAAACTCACCCTGACATTATACTCATCAAGACCTTCCATTTGAGTACCCACATCAATTTTTGATATATTTATATATATTATATATATATATATATATATATAAATATATGATAAATATATGAAAAGTGCATGTGGGTACTCAAATGAAAGCTCTTAATAAGTGTAACATCCGGATGAGCTTTTATCTTCAAAAACGTCGATAGTTAAGAAAGTACAGTGTAATTTAACAAAATTCAACATTTAATGACTTTTCAGTTTTTGTTATTTTAATCAATTTGTTATAAGAATTAAAAAAATTGTCATCTTCAGTATCACAAATATTTTCTATTTTCTATCCATATTTTCACCTAAAAAGTTTTGTATTGCTTCAGAAAATTCACCAGCAGTAGCAGCAACAAGTAATGATATTATATTTACTGGTATTGCTAAAGTGATCCACAAGCGTATCACTGAGTTATCATTGTATGAAGCTAACAAGCAAGAATACATAACAAGGCACCTAGTAGATGGCCGAATTGTATTCAGTGATCACAGAATAGCTCTGGTAGCTGGATATATGTCTGAAGAAGTATCTGGTGTCAATGCCTTCCGATTTATGCACAAGGACGATGTAATGTGGGCAATTACAGCATTAAGACAAAGTTAGTAACTATTTTAATACTTTATTATTATTATTATTATTATTCAAAAATATCAACCCAATAATAATAACAATAATAATAATAATAATAATAATAATAAAATTATTTGTATTATTATTATTATTATAAAAACAATTATTAACACTAAAATCTAACTATTATTTCAGTGTACGATCGCCGTGAAGGTTTTGGCACCTCGTGCTACCGTTTGCTCTCAAAGAGCGGTAAATTTATTTATTTACGTACCCACGGTTGGCTAGAATTCGACAACAAAACCGGGACCTTCGAGTCATTCATCTGCGTCAACACTCTGGTAGAAAAAGACGAAGGGGAGAATTTAATAAAAGAACTGCGCAATCGTTTCTCAGCCACAGTAACGCAAATCAGCGCAACATCAGCCGGAACCTTAACAGTAGCATCATCTTCATCAGTTTCAGCATTGTCGCCTTCTCTATCTTCCTCATCTTCAACAACCTCATCATCATCTTCCTACTTCTCGCCTTGTTCGCCTCCAAAATTTGGCCTGTCGCCCGATTTATCATCTTCATCAGCAGCAGTAACTACCACAGCGCCAACAGCAGTAGTTCCAACCTCCACCACATCATCATCTTCTTTGTCTACAGCAACGCCATCTACTCCAGCGTCAGTTGGGACGCTAAAAAAATCGCCTTCACAATCGGAACAAAATGTCGAGGATCCAACCCAGCTTGAAGATGCTATTTATCAATTAATTAGCACACTTAAGTCTCCAACAACAGCTTCAAATTTATCACCACCTACTTCTGATATCGAGTGTAACCCGGAGATTGCCGAAACAACCTCGATTTCTTCAGCTATGACGTCAGCGGTGCCAACGCCATCTAGCGGAGCTAGTAGTAACTTGTATAAATTATTTTCAGCGGATAATAATATTTCTAAGGTGGAAAATAATAAATTTGAAGATGATACGAGTCATAAAAATAAACGGATTAAAACAGAATTATCAAATTCAATTGATTCATCAATAAATCAATTAAATGGTTATGATAATAATCGTAAAAAAAAAATAAATTGTCATAATTCGACAAAATTATTAAATAACAGTGAAAAAAAATTAACTGACGATAAATTAATAATAAATGATAAAATGTTAAGTTTAAATAGTCAAAATTTATTATTTAGTGGTAATAAAATAAATAATAGATTAATGAAAAATAATGTCGATATTAATAATGATGATGGTGAGGATAATTTGAAGCAATCGAACAATATTTATTTAAAATATAATAATGGTAATGTAAATAAAAATGAACAAGAAGCTACAACGTGTGTTAAAATTGAATTAAATGGTATAGGTATTAAACGTCCTGGTGAAGATGATAAACGTAAAGATAAACGACGGCATATTTCAATCAGTTCAAGCGATCAAGTTAATAATTTAATTGTTGTTAAAAATAATGAATTAATTGTTAATAAATTAAAAATACAGGAGAAAAAATTTTCCGGGGATGATAATGATGATGATAGGGTGATACACGTTAATCAATCAAATAATTTAATAATAGATAATAATCAAGTGGATAATGATAAAAAAGCTATTATTGATAATGATACATTATTTAATATAGATAATCATATTAATGGACAAAGTGAACAATTTGGTCAGGTTAAATTAATTTATAATGAAAAAGATTGTGAAACGATAAAAAATTATCAACAATTAAAATCTCAATGTCAGAGTAATATTATTAACAACTTTAAAGATGATAGTAATGACTATACCATTTAAAAAATATTAATTATTTTATTTAATCTATTACCACTCTCATTATCGGTATTTTTTATCACTCATTTTAAAAGGTTTATAAATTTTATTTTTAGAATCAATTAATGGTTGAAATTTTTTTAAATTATTTTATTTGATGTTAAGTTTGTAAAAAATATTATTTTTATCATTCGGTAATTTTACGGTACTCGATAAAGTATGTAATTGTTAATTACAAAGATGAAGTGGATAAAAAATGATAATGAGAGTGGTGGTGGATTAAATTAATAATGATTTATTACAATAATTTTTATATTTCAATTAGTCAATTTATTTAATAGGTAATAGGATAATGTCTGTGCAAAAAAAAAAAAACTTTAAGTTTATTAAAATATAATAATTAATGCAACAAATGTTATTTATAATTGTCTTTGGAAAATTCCTTTCATTCCAAAGTGTCTCAGACAAAGCTAGTTTTTAATTTATTATTATTTCTTAATTATTGTTATTAAATTACTATTATTTTTTTTATGTCGATTAGTGAAGAAACAAAAATTTAATTTTTATTTAATGTCAATTATTATCGTTTTATTTTAATAATAATAATAATAATAATAATAATAATAATAATAATAATAATAATAACATGTAATAAATGATAAAATGTTAAGTTTAAATAGTCAAAATTTATTATTTAGTGGTAATAAAATAAATAATAGATTAATGAAAAATAATGTCGATATTAATAATGATGATGGTGAGGATAATTTGAAGCAATCGAACAATATTTATTTAAAATATAATAATGGTAATGTAAATAAAAATGAACAAGAAGCTACAACGTGTGTTAAAATTGAATTAAATGGTATAGGTATTAAACGTCCTGGTGAAGATGATAAACGTAAAGATAAACGACGGCATATTTCAATCAGTTCAAGCGATCAAGTTAATAATTTAATTGTTGTTAAAAATAATGAATTAATTGTTAATAAATTAAAAATACAGGAGAAAAAATTTTCCGGGGATGATAATGATGATGATAGGGTGATACACGTTAATCAATCAAATAATTTAATAATAGATAATAATCAAGTGGATAATGATAAAAAAGCTATTATTGATAATGATACATTATTTAATATAGATAATCATATTAATGGACAAAGTGAACAATTTGGTCAGGTTAAATTAATTTATAATGAAAAAGATTGTGAAACGATAAAAAATTATCAACAATTAAAATCTCAATGTCAGAGTAATATTATTAACAACTTTAAAGATGATAGTAATGACTATACCATTTAAAAAATATTAATTATTTTATTTAATCTATTACCACTCTCATTATCGGTATTTTTTATCACTCATTTTAAAAGGTTTATAAATTTTATTTTTAGAATCAATTAATGGTTGAAATTTTTTTAAATTATTTTATTTGATGTTAAGTTTGTAAAAAATATTATTTTTATCATTCGGTAATTTTACGGTACTCGATAAAGTATGTAATTGTTAATTACAAAGATGAAGTGGATAAAAAATGATAATGAGAGTGGTGGTGGATTAAATTAATAATGATTTATTACAATAATTTTTATATTTCAATTAGTCAATTTATTTAATAGGTAATAGGATAATGTCTGTGCAAAAAAAAAAAAACTTTAAGTTTATTAAAATATAATAATTAATGCAACAAATGTTATTTATAATTGTCTTTGGAAAATTCCTTTCATTCCAAAGTGTCTCAGACAAAGCTAGTTTTTAATTTATTATTATTTCTTAATTATTGTTATTAAATTACTATTATTTTTTTTATGTCGATTAGTGAAGAAACAAAAATTTAATTTTTATTTAATGTCAATTATTATCGTTTTATTTTAATAATAATAATAATAATAATAATAATAATAATAATAATAATAATAATAACATGTTAGAAATATTACTAAGATCGGTGATTTTAATATTTATTAAAGAGGATTTATTATTTTTTTAAGCCACCTTATCCGATCGATTTACAGACTATTGAATTTTTATTTATTAATTATTTTCACCAAAATATTCTCAGTACCATCCTCGGGTGAATGTATAATAATTAAAAAGTTTGATTTTTAAGACAATTTTTAATTGGGATTATATAAAGATGTTATTTTTTACTCAGTGACACTTTTTTCAATAAACAAAATAATAATTCGGTTTCGAATTATTTTTTCGGTTACACTGATAGAAGGATTTCTTAGTATCTAAGAAGATTTCTGTGTAATTAAAAAATATTTCTTCAATACTAAAAAATATTTTTAAAATACTAAAACTATTTTTTAAATACTAAGAAATATTTCTTATATAATAGGAAATATTTTTTAACTATGAAGAAATGATTTCTTAAGCATCATTTCTTAGTATTTAAAAAATATTTTTTAGTATTTAAGAAATATTTCTTCAATACTAAAAAATGTTTTTTCAATACTTAGAAATATTTCTTCAATACTAAGAAATAGTTCCTAAATACTAAGAAATATTTCCTAAAAACTAAGAAATATTATATATACTAAGAAGTATTTCTTAAATACTAAGAAATTTTATAAATATTAAGAAATCTTTCTATTAGTATACTGAAAAAAGTGTCACTGAATAAAAAGTATAATCTGAATTTTTTTAGTTACTATTCGAAATTTTTTTTCTCCACAGATATCACTGAGTATAATCTAGGATTTTATCCAGTGTCATCTTGTTCTTTCTGTGTATATAATCCCAATTAAAAATGATCTTAAAAATCAAAATTTTTAATTATTATACATTGATTATGGTGAAAATAATTAATAAATAAAAATTGAATAGTCTGTAAATGTTTTGGGTAAGTTGGCTTAAAATAATAATAAATGCTCTTTAATAAATAAAAAATAATAAATAATAATAATAATAATGATAAAATAATATGTTGATGATGATAATGATAAAGAAGATGATGGTGATGGTTATAATGATAATAGTTAATTATAGTAATTAATAATATTAAATTAGAGTAGGAAAAAAATGACAATTCGTCAATGCATTTGAATATAAACTAATGATTGATGAGTTAAATATAAAAATGGATTGTGCAATTAAATGATCTTTGTTTTGAGGATGAGACTGATAAGTAGACAAACGATCTGAGATCTTTGAAAATATTAATCGAAATTTATTAATCTAAAGTAACTATTTAATTTAAAATAGTTACAGATGGATTTAATTATTGATTATTAAAATAATTGACTAGTAAAATTTAATAGGTGTAATTTAATTACTCGACTAATGGGAATAAAATTTTTACATGGAAATGGATTAAAAAGAAGAAATGATATTTCCAGTAAGTAAAACACTTAGTCTCATTTTTTTAATATAAAAATATGAAGAAAAGTCATTTTTTAGAAAACGAGTAGATAAATTAATCGTAATGGTTAAATTTGAAATAAAATGATAGATAAAAATAACGTTGTGTTAAAACGTTGAAAATTAAAAAAAAAAAAAAATTATTTAAAACTTTAAAAGGTAAAATTATAACTACCTCTTTGCTGGCATTGAATAATCCAATAATGCTTATACTAATAATTTTTAAATAAAATAAATTTAAGTACCAAGTACATATTACTAGACAATTTCAATTGAGTGTAAAATAATAAAAATATTCAGTAAAAAAAAATTAAAACTAATATTCCAACTGTTGCCATTATAAATATTGGCTAATTGTAAGACTGCGAAGTTAATCTTACTTATATTATTATTATTATTATTATTATTATTATTATTATTATTACTATTATTATTATTATTAAATCATATATTGTCGCCTAGTAAATATATTAATATTTTTAAGTATAATTACGTTTTATCGTTAAAAAAAAAGTACGTAAGTGTGAATTTTTAATAATAAGTAGCTAAAAAAAATTATTTTTCTTTTTAATAAATTTTATTTAAAATTATAAAAGCAAAAAAAAAGATAAAATTTATACATGACGTTTTTCACCATGCTAAACTAGCAATTAACAAAAAAATAAGAGATTTTAAAAATCTAGAATAAAATAATTTGTGGCCATACACCGATGAGAGAGATCTTTTTTTAACTTCAATTGATGAAAAAAAAAAAAACAATCGTTGTAATTATCATTTTATCGATGTATAATTATTGATTTTGTTTAATAAAAATTATAATGAAAATTTATTATGCGTGTAAGTCCCAGTTTGGAATTTTTGACCCAACCCTTAATAAGGGGGTCTTCTGGTTTGATGCCCTGATTTTTGAGCAATTTTTTGGGATTTTAGTAAAAAGACCAATGAAGAGATAAGAATTTCAAATTTTTTACTATTTACACTAATAGAAGGATTTCTTAGCAATTAACAAGATTTCTTAGTATTTAAGAAATATTTTTTAGAATTTAAGAAATATTTCTTAAATACTAATAAATTTCTTAATTACTAAGAAATCCTTCTATCAGTATAAATGATAAAAAATTCTAAGTTCTATTTTTTTATTGGTCTTTACAAAAAATTTCTAAAAAAATGCTCAAAAATCAGATTGTTAAACCAGAAGATCCCCTTAAAGAAGAAACTAATAAAAGCTAAAGAAGAAATAAAAGCTAAAAAAATTTAGAGGCCTCTCATCAAATTGATCTAATTATTTAAACAAATTATCATTAATTAATTAAACAATTATTATTATTTATCATCCAACGAAGAAATACGTGCAGATAATAAGGTAAAAAATTGTATTAGGTTTATTTAAGTACAAATAAATTCCAAAGTGTATTTTAAAATAGGTTAATTCGATGAGAGACTCTGATTGGTGATATTTATCTGTTTAAAAAAAAAAAATCACTAATTTTATGAGTTATCGAAATATATTATCATTAAATTACTAATTTGATAATATTAAAATTGCTAGTTTATTTACATTAAAAAAAGAACTTACTTGTGCAATTGAAGTAATAGTTATTATTAATCAATTGACTGTTTGATTGGATGTATCAATTCTCTTCAAGACTGATATTTTTTTTTTTTTTTTTTTTTTAACACAATTGCTCAAGAAAGTTAATTATAATACTCTTGAGGTAAATATATTGTTAAAAATAATTTCATGAGTTGTAACCAAACATAAGCTTCATTTTTATCTTAAAGTTTTGTAAATATTTTAATAGTAGACTTTGTATTAAAGCAAAGAAGAAAATAGTTATACTGAAGTCAATTTTTTATCAATTATAATTTATAATTAATCTAAATAATATTTGTTACATATTCCTTTTAACGCTGTCATACTTTTGTTATTATTAATTACTAAACTATACAATAATATTATGTTTAAAGTTATCATTACAAACGATATTTCTTCTCGATTATTAATTGTATAAAAAAATTATTATTACTAAATAATAAAGTGGAAATAACATGTAGCTAGTTGAATTTCTTTGTACTGAAAAAATTTCGAGTTATCAATGACCATCAAGTATATGATTAATAAAAATAAATAATAAATAAATAACAGTAATTATTATTTCATTTCTTCTTAAACTAATAGTTATTATTATTGTTTTAAATAATTAATTACAAAACACGATTTTTTTTTTTTCATTTTCAAATTACTATAACTTTTGAATTAATTTTTCACGCGGTTGGCGAAAACTCGATTTTTGCAAAACGGGGTGAAAACAATAACTTTCCGATTTTTGAAAATCTGAGATTTTCTTAACGGGAAGTTAAAAATTTGAATATATAGGTTTCAAAAAACAAAAATGAGCATGAGATTCAAAATTTTTCCATGAATTTAAATAAATATTTCCATGTAAGTTTTGTTATAAAACAAACAATATGTAAAAAAGATAATAAATATGCATAGGAATTTTTTATTATATATATTAATATTTGCGAGTGTGATAAGTCTGGATGAGTGTGAGGATTTATTTGTACATGAAAAGAGAAAGAGAAAATTTGGAAAATCCAAAAGTGCACGACTCATAATGCTCATTTAATTATAAAAGAAAAAAAAAAAAACATAGGCAAGAAGACGATATGCTTGGTCGCCAATACGACACACTATTATATCCCTATACTGATGCTATGATCCTCATGTTAGAATATAAAGTAAACATAAAGAGATTCGCAAAAAAATTATCTTTATTTTATTTTACTCATGAATTTTATTTAAACTTTTTCTATTTAATTCGATTACAAACGCTCTAATTTAACTGAAAAATTGTTATTTTTTGCTTGTAATTGTAACTTTCAATGTGCAATTACTATAACATTCCCGTGGCTATCTTTCAAAAATGAATAATAATTGACATGAAAAAAAAAAATATATTATTGCTGAAACGTATAAAGTATTATAGTATGCATTTTTGTAGTTGCTGAGGAAGTCCTAATCAAAGGACAAAACGTTCAACTAGAATCAATACATATAGTTTAAAATTATTGTCCTGAATTACTGTGACCAATTTTAAGTTATTCACATTTTTTTAGGCGCATATAATCCTCGACTTACATCTAAATCCCATAGTTCATATCCTCGTTCTTTTTACTCTAAAAAAAAATAAAAATATTAAAATATAATAAAAAATGATTAGAAAAAGACAGTGAATCGAAAATGAGTACATAGATAAAAGATGTTAACTTGCTCCTCCTCCAGAAAGTGAATATTCCACGGCAAATTTATGGATGGGTCCATTCTCATTATTTCTTCGTTAGACGGCATATTTTCCTTCGGGAATCAAAATTTTTGAATTAAAGTAGATACGTGTAAATTCCAAAGGTACTCATTCTTGATGAGGACTATTCGCTGGGTGCGTAAGGCATAGTGGGGGACACAAAACTGATATCAGCGTCCGCTGTGGACAACACACAACTAAGGGTGGCTCTTTATTACTAAAAGCTATGAAAATAACACGTGTGTTAGTTTAATTAATTAACTAAATAAAATATAATGGTCATCAAAATTGTTGTGTAGTTGATTGTAAAAATACTAGTAGAAATAGTAACTGTAAATTTTATAAGTTTCCGGTTGCCAATTGGAAATTAAATCAGCGAAAAAAATGGATAGCTGCTGCTCAACATCTCTCATATGTTCAGCCAGGACTAAATTTTTATCCTTTATTAAAGTTTGTGGTTGAAAAATAATATTATGGGTAATAAATTGCAAAATTAAATAAAGAAAATAAAAATTTAATATTAATACTGATTTTTCATTTAATATTAATTTAACAATAAACACCTCGACAGATTTTAACACTCATTATAACCTAATTCACTTGAGATTTGTTTTAGTTATTGTGTTTATTTTCCTTATTACTATTTCCAACTGACCCAAGAAAAAATTTTTAATTTAATCTACATTCTGTGTAATATGTCACATTTTACATCGAAAAAAATTTTTTTCAAGTTTATTTAATTGTTTAAATAACTATTTGGCATCTAATACATGTAAATTTTCTTAAAAAAGCCACCGTAAGTTGTATCGTTAGGTGGCGGTGGGGTCACGCACCCAGCGAATACTACTATACTACCTTGAGTAGTTACACTTTGAGCCACTAGTTGGCGTATCAAAGTTCTAAGTATGGATACTATACACGTGTATAGTGTATAGTCTCTCCATAGTTCTAAGTTTCCCAAAACAGACAATATTAAAAAATTACCCTGTATCTCGTGAACTATTGACATTTTTAAAGATATAAGCTCATCCTGATTTAACACTCATTGAGACCTTTCATTTGAGTACCCACATCAATTTTTCATATATTTTATATATTTATATATATTATGTATATGTATATATGAAAAATATATCAAAAAAGTATGTGGGTACTCAAATGAAAGGTCTCGAAGAGTGTAACATCGGGATGAGCTTATTTCTTTAAAAACGTCAATAGTTAAAAAAGTACAGTGCAATTTAACAAAAGTCATTATTTAATAAAGCAAAATTTTATTTATTTATAATTCACAAGTCACGGCAGTCACATAGTGACTGCAAGGTTGCTTGTTATTATTACTGTAATTGAAATGCTGATTTTAATAATTAATTTTAAGAATTTAAATTTAATTATTTTTTTTTATTTATATATAATATAGGTATCTACATAGTTCATCTTCATTAATTTTAAAATGGGAAATTTATTTACAAGGATTTGTTATACAATTTTCGGCAAATTTATTTATTAAAATTGTGCCGTGAACAAAAGTCATTTGAAAATAATTTTATGATTTCTTCTTTTTCTTCTTCATTTACTCTATGTATATATCTTCTATGGGAAAAGCAGTCTCAATAAATTTAGTGTAGAATCGATGGAAGGCTCGTCTACAACACAAAATAATTCATTTTAATAACTATCTCTATCTATATATATATATATATAAATGAAGTTAAAGAAGAAATAAGCAACAATAATTTACCCAACAGCTTCCGCAACAGGCCGTGTTGATTCTTGTCCAATAAATACATGGCAAGCAAACCTTTGCAATGTAGGGTGTTTAGTAATGAACCCAAGATACCTATGATCTCTGGGATGAAATGCGCAAAACGATACATTTTTCAGCGAATAAAAATAATCATGACATGGCCCACGATTTTTGCGTTGCTAAAATTAATAAAAATATTTTTTATTATTTAATTGTTAACAATTGTAAAAATTATAAAAATTGACAGATGTTTGTTTTCTTCAGCATAATAATTTTTTACCCTAGGTTTGCTGCGATCAACCATACGAAGTCCTTGGTCAGAAACTTCTAATATACAGCTCTGGGATTCCGGTGAATCGCTAGCAGTGTTACCAACAATCCTCCTGACAGCTTGACAAACAACACCCGTTCCCTTGTGAGCCAATGTCTCAACAGATCCCAGATAGCCTAACAAATAGCGTTCGCGCTTAACTTTTGGTGCAGTAGGATCAAAGTCACTGTAATCCATGTCTACTGCATAAGCTGATGGAAATATTCCTTGACGTCCTGTTCTTAAATTTACACCTGAAAATAATTACACTCAATCATTGACCTTCATTATCATCAATCATCATCTTCATTGAACAATTTTTACCTTCACACCACAAATCATCAGCTTCTTTTTGAACGTAAATAGGATCTCCAATTTCCAGGTCTATTTCATCATGATGTCGTGGGATGAATTTATGAAGACCACGGTGTGTTGCTTCCAGTAATTCTAATTGTGTGAATGGAATTCCTCCACTTCCTGAATTGGTAATATGTAAATTTTTATTCAAATAATAATTCATCACACTGGCATTTAATAATTTTTATTTTTATTATAATTATAAAGCAAAAAATATTTTTTTTTAAATTTGCACTTGTAATTTTTTCCAATTTAATTTCTAGATATTGAATTTTATTATTTTTAATTTTTTTTTTTTAGTTATTGAATTGAAATAAAAAAATATTTTTTAAAAAATTCACTTAGAATTTTTCAAGTTTTTTCCAAATGAAAATTTTTTTTTATTTTGCAATAATTTTTTTTTAACAAAAAAAAAAAATTATAAAAATTTTTAAATGTCGTCTAACTTAATTTTTTTAATTTACTAATTTTATTTTAATCACCTGGAGTGCTGCTGGGTGACACAGAGTCAGTATTTTGTAAAGTATTACTGCACATAATAGGTGAAACACTTTTAGGTCCATTGTCAGGCGAATGAGCAGTACTGTGTCCACTGTCAGTGGTCATTCTCTCGCTGTCAGGTGATGAGTCCTCGTTGAGCAGCCGAGGATGACACTTCCGAAGAATCAAGTGAGGTCTTCCGGCTCCAGTAGCTCCTGATACACCTGCTAATTCATCAGCCAATGAAGCAGGAGATGTTTGAAGGGACACAAAACCTATCATAGCTGATTAATTTTTTTTTTTAACTCTAACTATAATATAATACTATACCCCGTTGAATTTTTAATCCATCAGGGTATGAATAGTATTTTTATATTAAAAAAAAAATATAATCTTAGTTAGGTAATTAATTGCTCTTACATTTATGATTATTGTTGTTGGTATTAATGTTACTTTTTGGTATTTCAGGCAAACGTCTCCGACGTCGTTCATTAGCGCTGCTGACAGATCGATTGGCCGCGTGCTCTGGAGTAGGCCAACATGATGATCCAGTAGCAAGACTTGAGCACGAACCACCGACAGAATCACTGACTACTGTTGAGCAATCACTCTGCGGGCCGCTGTTTATTATTCGGGATCCATTTTTACCTCCAGAATTGTACCGAGTCCTGCTGCTTAGTCCACCGAACAAGCTAATGTCATCAAAGGTACATAATAGGGAACAATCAGCTAACACTACACCATGCTTACGGTACTCGAGTCTTAATATACATTCATAAATAATGACATTGAAGTTGACAGCCTTTAGAAATTTTCTATTGAGTTTTTTTAAGATATAAGCTCATCCCGATGTTACACTCATCAAGAGCTTTCATTTGAGTACCAACATGCATTTTTGATATATTTTTCATATATACATATATACATATATATAATATATAAAATATATGAAATATTGATGTGGGTACTCAAATGAAAGGTCTTGATGAGTGTAATATCGGGATGAGCTTATATCTTTAAAAATGTCAATAGTTCACAATATACAAGGTCATTTTTTAATTATTGATATTTTTAAAGATATAAGCTCATCCTGATGTTACACTCATCAAGACCTTTCATTTGAGTACCCACATCAATTTTTCATATATTTTTCATATATATATATATATAATATATATAAATATATAAAATATATGAAAAAGTGATGTGGGTACTCAAATGAAAAGTCTCGATGAGTGCAATGTCGAAGTGAGCTTATATCTTTAAAAGTGTCAATATTTCACAAGATACCAGGTCATTTCTCAATTATCTATCTAGAGATAGAGTATTTTTGAATGCAGCCTAAATACTTATCACTATAAATTGACTATTTTTATTTTAGCGTAATTGTTTTGTTATAAAAATAAAAAAAAAAAATTCATAGCTATCAACTAATTTCAATATCATAAAACAAATTATTTCTAGGTCAATTATGCAAAAAAAGAATTAAAGTAAAATAACATTCGATAAATCTCAGAATTTTTTCAACTAATATGAAAAAACAAATTCTACTTATTAAAAATATCAAAAACTATGAATGCTAATTTTACATTTTAATAAAATCTAACAGATTTAATGACAATATTAACAATACCTAAAATCACTGTCAGCAACTATTGAAGAATTATGATCAAAGTCTTCACTGTCGTCGCCAGATATGTCATCACTTTGATTGTCATGCTGATTTATGCCCATACCTTGGGCATCCTGATCATCTTGATCATCGGAATCTTCAGCTCCCGTAGCTGCAGTTGAAATTCGAAGACAAGAATTGTTGTCTTCATTGTCACTTGCTTGTGACGATGTCGGGGAATCATCCACGAGGACATCGTGGACCAAGCTTGTAAAAAAATCAATTTTTTTTTTTTCAACATAATAAATTAATAATTAAAAAATAAAATTAAAATTAAAAAAAATTTTTCAGGTGTCTGCTGATCTCAATATAATATTTTTAATAATATTTTACTGCTGCAATAAAATATTTAAAAATGAATAATGTGTATTCAAGACCAGAAGCCATATGTCAGGTTGCTGTATCATAATATTAGTCGAAATATTTATTATAAAATGAAATAAATCCGAACATTAACTCTTTAATTTCCAGCTAAAATAATAGACTTTTTTTTTTTAAACTTATTTAATATTAAGTATTACACTTCTATCGACGCATGTCAACCGCTAGGGGGTTGAGGTCAGAGTATAATTCTATTCATTAGCTCAGCGGTGCAACGCTGCAGTTTTTCAGCCCACCAGCCCTCAGATATATATTTATTTAACCAAAAAAAAAAAGAATCATTTTTTATTTCTTCTTTATCTAGCAAATTCATCTTAATAAATTTTACAAAAAAAAATTTATCCCTAATTAATATATTTATTTTTAAATTATATTAAAGAAGAAATTTTTAATGAGATCTTTTTAATTGATACTCAAAAAAAAATTAATCAATAAAAAAAATGCAGTAAAACTGGCACATGTCTTCTATAAAATTAACAATAAAGATATATTTATTGTACTTAATTTTCTTTTTATTTTAGATAAAAATATATTTTTTTGAAAATTTTAATCATGAATTTTTGTATCAAGAAAATTTTCTTAATAAAAGTATTTTTTTGTTTTAATGTACTCAATATGCTACTGGAAAAAAATGATGCGGTATTTTTACTGGGTGAGGTGTATTAAATATTTAATAAATAATAAATGTAATATATTAAAAAACACTTACGTATAATTTGATATAGGTGCTTTGAGATGTTGAGGCAATCGCTCAAAATAATGGCGAAATTCCTCAAATTCAGTATCAGCCATTGTCAATCAGAGAAAAAGGATCCTGAAGACCCCGTGAACGGGGGATACACACACCACCACCACCTCACCTTCGTCGTGCTCGTCGACGTCGATTTCGATGTCGGGTCTCGAGAAGGAGGCGGAGATGGAAGCGCTATGGTCGTCACTCTATTGATTCCATTTGTAATCAGACGCAAGCGCTAACACCACCACTGTCGACTGGGGACCACTGGGGGTGGGATACTGAGACTTGCAACATGCTCAGTATCATCCCCTATCGCTTTTCAAAAAAAAAAAAATATTCATTCAAATTACATAGCTTCATTACCACATCAATATATCAATACATCAGATTTCACCTTCATTAATTAAATTCATTTCTTCTCCACTTTAATTTGTTAGTATGTACTTACTTATATGGAGATTTAATTCATTCAAACATATACTTATGTATTATTCAAAATACATAAATAAATTAACTGATGGATTTTTTTTTTTTTTTGATTAGTTAGACAAATTATATTCTTGTATTGATAGAGTATTTTAATAAAAATTTTATTCATGGAGTTATGTATACAAGTTTAAAGAGATTAGTTTGTTCTTAGAGGGAGGAATGAAGAAAAAAAAAATTTGTGATTAAAATCCTTTTGAGTACTTAAGAAGAAGAGCGCTTGAGAAATAAAATGTTTTTTTATTGTTTACTGGTATTAACGTCATTTCAATTGACGTCATTTCTTTTTTAGATTTTAAATTTAATTATTGTAAAAATTTTGACAGTAAAATTGTCAAAAATATGGTTATTTCTTCTTTATTTTTAAAATTTTATTATTGTAAACATGTTTGATATTTAAACGAACAAAAATCTGGTCATTTCTTCTTTAATTTTAGAACTTAAATATAGTAAAAATTTTTTGCATAAAAATTAACAGATATATGGTCATTTCTTCTTTAGTTTCAAAATTTAATTATTGTAAAAATTTTTAATATGTAAACTAACAAAAATCTGGTAATTTCTCAGAAATATGGTCATTTCTTCTTTAATTATAAAATTTAATTGTTGTAAAAATTGTCGATTTTTCAAGTAACAAAAATATGGTAACTTCTTCTTTAGTTTTAAAATTTAATTATTGTAAAAAATGTTGACATTTAAATTAACAAAAATCTAGTAGTAATTACTTCTTTAGTTTTAAAATTTAATTATTTTAAACATTTTCGATATTTAAACCAACGTAAATCTGATAATTTCTTCTTTAGTATTAAAATTTAATTATTGTAAAAATTTTTAATATGTAAACTAACAAAAATCTGGTAATTTCTCAGAAATATGGTCATTTCTTCTTTAATTATAAAATTTAATTGTTGTAAAAATTGTCGATTTTTCAAGTAACAAAAATATGGTAACTTCTTCTTTAGTTTTAAAATTTAATTATTTTAAACATTTTCGATATTTAAACCAACGTAAATCTGATAATTTCTTCTTTAGTATTAAAATTTAATTATTGTAAAAATTTTTAATATGTAAACTAACAAAAATCTGGTAATTTCTCAGAAATATGGTCATTTCTTCTTTAATTATAAAATTTAATTGTTGTAAAAATTGTCGATTTTTCAAGTAACAAAAATATGGTAACTTCTTCTTTAGTTTTAAAATTTAATTATTTTAAACATTTTCGATATTTAAACCAACGTAAATCTGATAATTTCTTCTTTAGTATTAAAATTTAATTATTGTAAAAATTTTTAATATGTAAACTAACAAAAATCTGGTAATTTCTCAGAAATATGGTCATTTCTTCTTTAATTATAAAATTTAATTGTTGTAAAAATTGTCGATTTTTCAAGTAACAAAAATATGGTAACTTCTTCTTTAGTTTTAAAATTTAATTATTTTAAACATTTTCGATATTTAAACCAACGTAAATCTGATAATTTCTTCTTTAGTATTAAAATTTAATTATTGTAAAAATTTTTAATATGTAAACTAACAAAAATCTGGTAATTTCTCAGAAATATGGTCATTTCTTCTTTAATTATAAAATTTAATTGTTGTAAAAATTGTCGATTTTTCAAGTAACAAAAATATGGTAACTTCTTCTTTAGTTTTAAAATTTAATTATTTTAAACATTTTCGATATTTAAACCAACGTAAATCTGATAATTTCTTCTTTAGTATTAAAATTTAATTATTGTAAAAATTTTTAATATGTAAACTAACAAAAATCTGGTAATTTCTCAGAAATATGGTCATTTCTTCTTTAATTATAAAATTTAATTGTTGTAAAAATTGTCGATTTTTCAAGTAACAAAAATATGGTAACTTCTTCTTTAGTTTTAAAATTTAATTATTTTAAACATTTTCGATATTTAAACCAACGTAAATCTGATAATTTCTTCTTTAGTATTAAAATTTAATTATTGTAAAAATTTTTAATATGTAAACTAACAAAAATCTGGTAATTTCTCAGAAATATGGTCATTTCTTCTTTAATTATAAAATTTAATTGTTGTAAAAATTGTCGATTTTTCAAGTAACAAAAATATGGTAACTTCTTCTTTAGTTTTAAAATTTAATTATTTTAAACATTTTCGATATTTAAACCAACGTAAATCTGATAATTTCTTCTTTAGTATTAAAATTTAATTATTGTAAAAATTTTTAATATGTAAACTAACAAAAATCTGGTAATTTCTCAGAAATATGGTCATTTCTTCTTTAATTATAAAATTTAATTGTTGTAAAAATTGTCGATTTTTCAAGTAACAAAAATATGGTAACTTCTTCTTTAGTTTTAAAATTTAATTATTTTAAATATACAATGTATTTCAATGAACTTTTGTTTCATTAACAATAAATGTAATGAGCTTTTTAGTATTAAAAATTTCTTCTTATTTCTTCTTAAGTTCCAAGTCACCGTGATTTTTAATATCCTGCTCAACAGTCTGTGTCTTTTATTGTATTATCTATATTATTAAGAGAATAAGCAAAGTGTAATTAAGAAATGACCACGTATCTTGTCAACTATTGACATTTTTAAAGATATAAGCTCATCCCGATGTTACACTCATCAAGACCTTTCATTTGAGTAGCCACATCAATTTTTCATATATATATATATATAAAATATATCAAAAATGCATGTGGGTACTCAAATGAAAAGTTTTGATGAGTGTAACATCAGAATGAGCTTATATCTTTAAAAATGTCAATAATTAAAAAATGACCTTGTATCTTGTCAACCACTGACATTTTTAAAGATATAAGCTCATCCTGATGTTACACTCATCAAGACCTTTCATTTGAGTACCCACATCAATTTTTCATATATTTTATATATATATTATATATATGTACATATGAAAAATATATGAAAATGCATGTGGGTACTCAAATGAAAGCTCTTGATGAGTGTAATATCGGGATGAGCTTATATCTTCAAAAATGTCAATAGTTGAGAAAGTACAGTGTAATTTCACAAAATTCATTATTTAATAAAGCAAAATTTCATTTATTTATATTTAACATGTCACGGCAGTTATATTTTAAGCTGTTAATAAATAAAAGTAAATAATTGTTAGTGTTACTTTATAATGCAGGGTTGATTTAGTAAACAGGAAGATTAAAATAAAAAAAAAATTTAGTCCGCCAATGAAAGTAGTAAGTGGTGAGCTTTGCTAGTCAGTCAACCAATCGGATCAAGAACAAGAGATTCTGTGAGTGAATACTGGTGGCTGGTGTATAACGGAGGGGTGAAAAGCTTAAAAGACCGATACCAATGCTGGATCCTCACATTTTATAATTTTCATTTAAACAAGATACATCCAGTAAAGTACTTAAAATATTTTTAACAATAAAGAAGAAATAAACTTTAGTTTGTTGGAATAATTATTTAAAATTTAATTCTACAAAGTGAAAGTTTTTTTATTTTTTGTGGTTGAAATTCATTAAAAATAAAATGAGTGGCTCGGGAAAAAGTCTTCTGGGTATGTGGCTTTATCGCCGAGGTGAAGAATGGACTCTTAAAGAGGGTAGTCCTTTGCATAAATCAACAAATGTAAGTCGTAAAATTCACCTGAAAAATATAAATAATTTAATTAATAATTTTTTTTTGTTTATTTTATTATTATGTGAAGAATATTATTATTTTATCATCTTCTTAAGTTGATTTTCTTTTTGAAGAAATTTTCAAGTGAAAATTTTATGTTTAAAATTTTACAGATTAAAATTTTTTATTTTTTTTTTTTATACATATTTTATTGAAATAGAAATTTAAAAAAAAATCATCTAAAAATTTAAATACTATAATTGAAAATAATTTTTAATTTAATTATCGCTTAGTTATAGAAAAAAATATCATCTTCTCAACTTTTGTCTTCTTAAAGATATTTTTAAAGTTAAAAATTTTAATTTCATTACAGTAATTATTTACTAATTAAAATTTAATGACCAAAATTAAATAAATTAAAAATTTTAATAAAACAGATACCAATGGTAAAAAAAATGGAGCATTCAGACAACAAAAGTTCAGTGGTATTTTCATTAAAAAATCAAATTGGTGGACTAGCTCGTGCTCTTCAAGTTTTTCAAGTAAAATTTCTTCCTATACTTATTAAATATCTTCAAAGAAGAAATAATAAAAAAAGTTATTAATTGAATAGGACTTGGGCGTAAATGTAGTGCATATAGAATCGCGTAAGTCAGTAAGACGTGGTTCAGAGTATGAAATTCTAGTAGATGTCGAATGTGAATCCAAGAAGATGGAACAGCTTACGCATATGTTAAGCCGCGAAGTCGCGGCAATTAATCTTGCACAGTATGAACAAACTGGAAGTGTTCCTCATGCACCGATGTTATCTGCAGCCCCTAGTTTTGGTAAATAATTAATGTAATATTAATTTTTTACATTGTTTAGTACTTACAAAATTTTTTTAATTCAGATTTTAGTCAAGTAGACATGCTCTGGTTCCCCAGAAAAATTTCAGATCTTGATCAAGCTCAAAATGTTCTTATGTATGGTACTGCATTAGATGCTGATCATCCAGTAAGTTTTATTTTCTTCTTATAACTTTAATTATTAATTATTATTTTATTTAATTTTTATTTTTCAGGGCTTTAAAGATCCAGTTTATCGTAAAAGAAGACAACAATTTGCTGATATTGCTAATAATTATCGACAGTAAGTTAAAATAATAAATAATAATAGTAATAACTAGCAACCTTGCAGTCACTGTGTGACTGCCGTGACTTGTGAACAATAAAAAATTAGAATTTTGCTTTATTAAATGAATTTTATTAAATTGCACTGTACTTTCTTAAATATTGACGTTTTTAAAGATATAAGCTCACCCCGAAATTACACTCATCAAGAGCTTTCATGTGAGTACCCACATGCATTTTTGTATATATTTTACTATATATACATATATATAATATATATAAATAATATAAAATATATTGTGGATACTTAAA